CATAGGAATATATGGAATAGCTGAATTTCTATTTCACCCACCTGTGAATGTGTTCTTCTTAAAATATCTAATTGGCGTATATATGATATGTGAACCTGTTTCTTTTTGGCAAATCCCCTGGAGATTTGTCATCAACAAATTGTAAGCATGCATTTTAAAAGGAAGATCATTGAATATTGATTAGGGCTTCATTGTTACACTGGGGACACCTGTTATAGTGAAGTCAAGCTGTGAAGGGCTGTACAATTAATTAAACTACAACCTACCACAATGAGGTCAGATTCTACTTGTGCTCTGGCATATTACTTTTTAATGACGTCTTGCATTGTGAACGTCTCTCCTGTCCAGACTTCCAGCTGTTTTTCTGTAACCCATCAATATCTGTAAAAGCTAGATCTTGTTCCTGGATAATTAGGAGTTGCCTATTCATGAGAACACCCAAGTGATCTTCCGCCTTCTGAGGATGGTCACTTGAACATAATGACATTGCAGGATTTACAGATGAGAAATTGCTGGAACACTACTGGGTTGTGAAATTAAAAAAACAAAGCTACAAGTCAAAACATTTAAAGGTAATTATCCAAGTGTTGTCTACATTGTAGATATATCTGTTTAATCAATAAGACTAGGGTGACACTACATCAGTAAGCAATGATTGAAGTGGAATACACAATTCAGAAGGTGGTGGAGTAGCTGGACTTTTAATGGTAAGTGAAAACTTTACAATGAGCACACGTTTTTAGTAGATTCATTGTTGCTGATGACATTAAAAATATTATGGTACAAAAAGCAAATGATGACAGTGACTGATGTATTAAAAGTTAAACTTTTTTTGCTTATATATCCTTGTTTTTTTGTCTTTGTTGACTTGCCTTGAAAGTAGTTACAGTATTACAGATGCTTTATTTAGATTTCATAGTTGTGCTGTGGTTGTTAGAGGCCGTGCTAGATGTGTGAGGGATGTTTGGAAATTGGTTTGGACTGTTTGTTAGGCTTACTGTGCATGTTGGTTGCTTGTAAGCAAAAATAAATTGCAAGGAATAAAACTATTGACTACACACAGAAATATATTTTAGTCATATATGGACTTCAATTATCAATCCTAAGTTGTTATTCTCAGTATTCCTTTTATTGTATTGACCTATAACATGCATTGTTTTATTAGGAATTTCAGCAGTGAAATGGTCATGTATCAATGTCACACAGTAATTTGTTTCAGTTATTTATGAATTTCAATCATCAATTGTAAAGTGTTATTTATCTTCTTTTATTGGTTACTGCCTAGCTATAGTCTAGTGCACTGTTCCATTGCTCAGCCACCAACTGTTGCACAATGGAGGTCAAATAGGGTTTGTTTGTGTAGTTTCCATGTATTTTCAATCCACTTTTGCTTTTCATTTATTCGCAGTGCATTTAATCACAATATATTATCATAGTTATTTTTGAAAAATAAGTATATTAAGCACCAGAGATTGTTGATCCAGAGAATATCCGATTGCCTTATGGAATCAGGAAGAAATATTTTTCCCTCATTGGAGAAAATTGAACTATGCTTTAGAGGGGTTTTTTTTTCTTTTCTTATCTCTATAGGTTGAACTCGATGGACTTGTGTCTTTTTTCAACCTGACTAACTATGCAACTATGTAAAACATTTAATTTGAAAAACATTTTATTTCTAAATTATTGTCAGTTTTTATTATCATTATTGGTTACAACTGAATATTGTCCTCTATTTTAATGAATTACTTAATGACTCCTATATTCATATATTTATACTTGCGTTTACATCAACTTTTATGAATATTATTATTCTATATTCATATCTAGATAATTTTTAGATATAAGTTTATACTCTCTCATTTTAAATGAGCCAATATAGGAATGTATTTGTGTTCATATCTATTTTAAAGCCCTGAAGAAGGGGGAGGTCTTTGAGCCCCTGAAACAAGCTGGCTGTTCTGGGTGTCATTTGTAAACCATAAATATTATTAAAAGTTTTTAGACTCTTAGACTGTTTGTTTGGGACTCTTATAGGATTTTGTACACAAGAATAAAATTATGACCATGTTCAAAAACATCTTGTTTGTCTGATACCTGCAATTCTCAAAGTTTAAATGGATAATTATGCTGTTTAAGGGGCTCAAAGAACCACAACGCACTAATTATCTGGATTGGGAATTATTGTTTTTTTTTAAATAGTCCTGAGCTGTCAAGAACTCATTAACATGTATGATAGGCAAGTTCCAGACTGGCACCTGTCTCCCAGTTTTATTCAAACAGGTGTGCTCTTGCAGTTGGGTCAATGCTTCAAAGGGTAGGTTATGTTCTACCAGAGCAGAGAGGACAAAGTGTGCACTTTAGCCTTTTTTGCCACAACCCTTATCTGCCTTTTCAGCAATAACATCTGATCTTGTTAGTATACCAAGGCTAGCAAGTTGATTGGTGTTTAATAGGACAGAACAAGACAGTTGGTCTAAGGGGGACCACTTATACCTGTTGTACTATTAATACATTGTTGTATAAGAGAAAAGAAATGCCTGTAATTGTAACAAAAAGGAAATAACATAAGTCATCATTGATTGTCTACCTTTTCTTTTCTAACTTAGAAACTTTGTTGATCCATGTGTTATTACCTGGCCAGGGGCATCAGTATAAATGTTTGAGTGCTACACACTAATGGCTTTAAACAGACAGCTGGAATAACAAGTTCAATGGGTCTATTTAAAAATGGTCTCACCAAGATTCACAGAACCTTCACCCAGGATTCATGCATTTTAATCAAATTAGAAAAATATGTGAATATTGTGTGAATGTTGTATGACTCTTGTGGGGGAAAACATAGATATACTATAGATAGACTCCAAGTATTTCCTGCATCCTTAAGGTACATTGCTAGCAATAGCATAACATTTCATGGAAGTGCTTCTACGTATTCTGGGTATGAAAAAAGGTCTTTCAGCAAAATGAAAACAAAATTCTTAAACAATAAATTGAAGCAACTTACAAAAATAAAACCCATTATGGAGTTTTTTTTGGTTTTGATAAATTACCAGTTTTGAAAACATGCTACACAACATACTACCACATGCCTGGCTGTCATGCTCATTTATTGGCTTTGGTACTTCTAAATCAGTGACCTGAAATATTATATAGATCAGTTTTAGAAGTATGAATACCAGAGACAGCCAAGTAAGTATCATTTTCAGAAGGAGGTACACAAGATCTCCATATCTCTCATGCCAAAGTTTTTTTTGATGGCACACCTGCCTTAATTCACAAAGCTATAGCGATAATGATCATAATTTTAAGTAATGAGAGCTGAAAATCACAATTGCATAACTTTAAATAATGATTGTTATGACACATAACATATATGATATATCTTGATGAACCGAGCATTTTTATTTTACAGAGGATTGATGAAATGTACAAAATAGTAATATTTACAATGCATAGCATAAAATTAATAAAAAAGTACATAACATCACAATAGATTACTGAATAGTTTGATATTTTTTAACATTAATTATTAACACCATCAGGTGTCCACATAATTCAATTCACAAAATGTGGCATTGAAATACCAAAAGACAAAAAAATAAGATATAGGTGTATTTTACTGTAAGATGTGGCTAGGAAATTAAGAGGGAGTAATATGGAAGCATGGAATTAAATGGATTGAAGAGCTATTAGGTAACAACTGATTAATTAGAAATTATGTGAAATGCTAGAATATATGTGCTTAGACCCACCTCAACCCACCTCAACCTAACCACTCAACCATCACGTTCTCAAACTATTCATCCCCACACATCTACCTCCTCATGAATCACTTGTCCCTCCCTTTTAGATTGTAAGTCCTCATGGGCAGGACCCTCCTTACCATCTTGTATTGTATTGTGATTGTAATGTCTTCCTTATATTGTAAAGCGCTGTGCAAACTGTTGGCGCTATGTAAATCCTGTATAATAATAATAATAGACTCTGAAAATGAGAACATATTTAAGGAAGACATATCTGTAAATATTATTTACCACTGTGTTCCATTGTAGCATTCCATCAAGTTTAAAGTCTTGCAGTAATGTTTTATATCCCAAGGTAGCTGTATAAGAATTCTGCATTTCTGTATCTAGCATTATTGTTTAGAAACATGTTAATTTTTTTATGAGAGGATACTTTCCCAGTATATACAATATATTTATTAAAGCCTAACTCCATCCCTATCTTTTATTTTTGGATATATATATATATTTTTATCTCTGTCTGCCCCATTGGGGACATTTTCCCTCACTTGCTATCCCAGTAATAGGCAAACAGGGACTGCTTGTCACCAAGACAGTAAGGCAGAGAGCCATAAAAAGTTGGTTGAACATTCTATCCCTTCTCCACCCTACTGAAAATATGATACTGTTTTTGTCTGTGTCCCCATTGAACAGATTACCCTTCACTTGCTGCTCTGACTCTCCTCAATGGGGACCAGATAGAAACCGGACAGAAGTTGTAATCATTCTGTACTCAACTGAAAAGAATTGTGATTGGTATAAAAAAATAAGCTCAGTAGGGAAATTTAGGACACGTGTATATAAATGTAAAATATTATCAGCATACTATGAGCTTTCGTTACTTGGACCTTGGGTGATAAGTAACAAAGTGTTCTCACTAGGAACACAGCCTGGGTAGACCCTGGGTTTTCTACCAATTCCTGTGTAGGTTATTCAAGGAGTTGCAGGCTGTCCGCTCACAATTCAGTACTAATAGGCTACCTGCATTCTAACTAAATTGACCCTATGGTCTGTAGGTTTGTGTGCTTGTGGTAGAGACATTCGACTGCAAATTCCTTTCTGGCAAATACTTAAGTAAACTGATTTTTATAGTTTGTAAATAGCTGTATAATATGTGTGAATACAGGAAAAAAACCAAAACATAAATAGCCTCTTTTATATCAAATCATTTAAATTGACTGATTGTAACTGCCTTGCAGGTGAAAGCGCATTTACGATATGGGTATCCTACTCTTCATGAAATATATGATGTTTCTCTTCAATGCACTTATATTTGTAAGTATGAATTATTTGAAAGACATCTCAATTTACCTACACTCACGGAGGTCGAGTTATTAAGGGTGAATAGGCTGTTTACCTGGCAAGGAAGTTTTCACTTTACAAGGGAATTTTCTCTTAGCTTTGTGAACGTGGTGAAAACTCACTTTGCAAAGAATACCCAATCACTTACAAAGAAATAACAAAAAAACATAGTTTTTTTGTGCTTGAACATGGTTGGATGATGGGAGTCAGCAGAGTGAACCTCTGCTTAATGAACCTCATTCACTAAGCTAAGGAAAAAATCTCTTGCATCACAGGTAATTTCTAGTAGGGGCAAACTCTACATGGATTTTGTATTTTCCACTTGATTTTTTACATTTCCACCAGTTTTTCTACAGAGCCCTAGCAAATTGTCAAGACATTGACTTTAACTTAAATGTGGATGGATGTCAGTGTAGAGGAAATGTGAACTCATGGTTTAGTATTTTGAGAAAAATTTGACCCAAAATAAACTTCTACATTTTGAAAGTGGCAGGGTTTCTTCCTTTATGTATGTTCACAATTGTTCAGGCCCTCAGTGGGGAGATTCAACCCCCAACCTGGCAAGGTTGGAACATTACTGAAACATAGAAAAACATTAATGCATGTATTTGCATCCTGTCCTTCTAATTTTATTTCCTATCCTTTCTCTGCAGTTGGGAGGAGTTTGCCTTTTAGGAGTTGGTATATGGATTATAGTTGATCCTGATGGTTTTCAGAGTCTTTTCACTTCAAATGCTTTACTAAGTGCTGGTGGCTACATCCTGCTCTTTGTTGGGTTAACGCTGTCTCTGCTTGGATTCCTGGGATGCTTTGGAGCAATTCGGCAGAGTAAACCTCTGCTATTACTGGTAAGTTGAATGGATTCAAAGTATTTGGAGATTGCCCGCAAGCCTGTAAAGCATGTTTAATAATTTATTTAGTTTAGATTACATCCTTAAAAAAATAAAAAATAGAGGTACCTTTGAAATGTTTGTTAACCAAACCCATTTCATGGAATCACATCTTTTGATTCCATATAGGTTAACAAGTCAAACTTTTTTTTCCAGTTCTGTGTCTAAATAGTATAGCAGTAAAAGATTACAAGCTGTAGTTAGGTCTAAGTGATAGTAAAGAAGATATCAGAATATTATATTTAGCATATTATTCAATATTATTACATTGGCAGTTGAGCAAATTCGGTATAGTAGGGTTACTCAGCAAAACTGGTATAACAATTTCACCTAAATCTTTAGCTTTCACATTCTTCCCAAATAAATTGTCTGAATAATTTATGGCTCATATATTACTGGTCATTTTATAATTATTTGTTGTACTTGTCAGAAGGTATTCTGTAAGAAAACAAATGTGCTAACAGGCAGACTATGTTTACTTGGTCAACATGGTTACCTTAGTCACTTCACATTCTCAATTAATGTGCACACTGTTCCATCCACTCCTCATGATCGTTTAGTGACAATCACTACTTAATGCACTTAGTTGAATGGCATATTTATTTTCATTTACTGGGTACTGTGCACTTCTGAAAGAAATAAAAGTATGTATAGGTGCCCATCCTCCTCATGTTTTATGCCAGAGGTGTGTGAATAATGATAAATACTCTCTTCTCACAATGTGGGTAATCCGGTCCCGCAACCCACCAATGGTCCCCACTAGTGATTGATAGCAGCAGAGGGTGGGTACAATAGCTAGTTTGCTATTGGCTATTGTAAATTGAAATAGCCAATAGGAAGCTAGCAATGCATTCCTATGGCAAATTTTTCTTTTTTGATGGCAGCAGAACCGCCGGCCAATAGAAAACAGTTGGTTTTCTTCTGGACCGAGTAGAACAGACGAGCCGAATGTCGCTCAGCGGCATTCGGCTATTCACTCACTGCTTTTCGGCATCTATAAGAATAGACTGAACAGCAGTGAGTAGGCTGCCGGAGATTCGGCTTAGCCGATCCAGATGTTGGATCGGCTGAGTCGAACTCCTTTTGCACTTCGGGTCTCCCAAACATGCTAAGCTACGTTTTATAATGAACCGAGATTGGTAAGAAGGGTCAAAGCCCATCCCAAATGTTTCTGGATGGTAATAATATCCTGAGCCAAAATAAGGATATCGTCCAGATAGACAATAAGCCAAACGCCTCTGCTCCGGAGAAGAGCCATAACAGGTTTTAACAGTTTGGTGACACACCACGGAGCAGATGCCAGACCGAATGGGAGACAGGTAAATTGCCATTTGTGGTCTTTCCACGAAAACTGAATGTACTGTTGATGATCGGAATGAATGGGTACAGTCAAATAGACATCCTTCCAGATATTTTCATTAACCAATTATTGAGCATTAATACAAATATTACATAATGAATACCTGCAATTTTGAAGTGTTGATATTTCAAACATTTGTTTAGATGTTTCAGGTTTATGACGCGATAACCAGCGTTTTTCTTTTTTACAAGAAATAAGATGCTGAGAAAACCTGGGGTATCCCACGGAACTTTCATGATGGCACCTTTTGTGAAAAAGATTTTCAATTTCTTTTTCTATGAAAATTTGACTCTGGGTATTGAAATAAGTGGGGCAGGGAATGCAGTTTAACCCGACATGAGAATGAAATCCGATCTTGTAATCCCTTTCCGTTGTCAATACCCAAGCACCATCTGTAATAGTTTACCACACATAGAAAAATTAAACATTCTGCCCTCCAATTTTCCTGGGAAAAAAGACTGAATGCATTTTATTACCCGATAAGAATCTGGATCAATTGCTGCCTCTATGGCCTCTCTATGGCCAAGGTCTGCATCGGTGTGGGAAAAATGGAGAGAGCTGTTGTGAGTCCCACAAAGAAGTCTGGGTGGGGAAAGGACCTTTGGGCTGTCTACCCTGTGAGAGAAGTTTTGGAAAAGGCCCCTGCCTTTTCCAGCCCCCCAAAAAAACCTTACGGTTATAATGCTTTTTTAAGGATGCACGTCCTTTGTCTAGTGAAGCAAATCCACCAATATAATTGCCCACACTTCTTTAATAAAGGACTCCTCAAACATCTTGCTTTCAACAGAAGGACCAGGTTCATCATTGGAAATATTTGAATGTTGGGGATTAATTTGATCAGAATGCCGTCACTGGTAAGAACTACATTGGCCTTGCGCAAGAAACATATAGCTCTCTGAACCCACCTTCATTATTAAGTTATATGTTCTAGCTAGTTTGTTTGTACTTATTAAGTTTGTTCTACTTGCTGTTAACTCTTTGCTGCTGGAGAAAAGTAAATAAATATTTAAGCATAATATGAGCCTCCTGTCTGATAAAAAATCAGTCATCCTGCCCTGCCAGACAGGGCTGTGCTGTGTGGTAGAGCTGTTCAAGTACCAGTCAGTACTGGTAGGAGAGTATGCAAAACAGCTCTTTAATAATATTTGATTCATTTGTTTAGCTGTTTGCCTGGAGTACAACTTTAAGGAATCCTTCTAAATGAAGCCCAGTCCTAACAAGGAGTGATATGTAAGGCTGGAAAGCAGTGTTTGGAAACATGAGAAATATGGAACCTTTGGATTACATTTCATCCATAGGATTGAATGAATAAAATGCACACATCATTGTGGAAATATATAGTTACGATGCTAGCCACATTGTCTTCTCTCAGCAAGTAAAATGATTTGCATGTTTTTAACAAGCTGCAAATTACGAATACTTGGCTTAGTAGTTAATTCTTTTATTTAAAAAATCAGCTGTAATATAAATTAATTATAATTTCATTAAAAGCTATAATTATTGGATTGTAAATTCCAAAACTGCAAATTTTAGACTAGCACTGTTATTTTTTTTTATTAAATCCCACTGCATGTAAGATTTAATTAAAAGGGTAAATCTTACTGTTAATTTTTTTTCTGTGAAATATATGAATATTTGGAATCATTGAGTTGTTTGAATGGGTAGGAGTTAGAACAGTCCGGTATGCAAATCTGATCCATCTCTGTGCTCTCACACCATTCTTTAGTCATTAAAATCTTAACTGTTAAAAACTGAGCAAAGCAAATACAGCTATATATTCATTAGCCGTGTCCCTATTATTTCTTGAAAGCAGAAACCCTATAGAATGTAAAGATACTAGTCTCAATTTTGTATGTTGTGTAATATTTGTGCAAATGTTTCAGAAATCTATCTATATCAGGATGCACTGATGCTTTGAAAGGGGGACCCCCATTTTTTGGGAACCACGGTAAAAGTGGAGGGCTGCACACTTGGGGCATCCTTGCCACAAGAATACTAGCCCACATGCCTGATGTGCCAGGCTGTGGGTGGGGGCACACCCTTTTTTTCTCAGTTGAAAAAAAAGATTCTGGGAGGTGGAGTGTGCTGTTTTTTTTCTTAAAGTAAAAAATTAAAAAACATTAAACACAGGTTTAGCAAATTTAAGTGCAAGAAAATCCGCCGTCCCAAATCAAAAAGTCCTTTAACATACACATCCACCCACTTCAAACCAGCAAATAGTTTTAATATTGTACCAGATGAAAAAATGGGTGAACAGTGGGTGAATATCAGAATGAGTCAATAAATTATTAAATCGGATAAATAGTACAGCAAAGCACTTTCCCACTGAAGAATTAAGAAATTTTAACTTGGGAGAATCTTGCTTGTAGTTTGGGCAAATCTTGGGTGAACGTTGTGTGGATCTTGTTCCAAAATAATAATAAATAGACCCCTAGCCTTTAAAAAAAATATTTTTAATTAGTTTGAAAGCATAAATTCATAGTATGTCAATACAAGTGTACAACATTTAGACTAATAAGCGAAAAACCAAGCTACAAACAAAAGGTGTGTTAAAGCTTGTTTGGCTGGATATGACAAGGAGAAAATATGTGTAACCCTACAGTTGCACCCTAGAATGAGACCAAAACCCAAATACCAAGGGAATACATTATATACCAGAAGAGCCCCTCAAGAAAACAGAGAAAGAGGAACTGGGTGGGAGAAAGCTGAGGGGGGGAATGTTGGTATACAGGAAAGAGGAGAAGTTAAGGAAAGGGGTGGTGGGGGCTGGGGTAGGGGTGAAGGGGATGTGAGGGGGGATTGGAGGAGTGCAAAAATAAAAGAGGATTAGATAGAGAAGGATGGTCCCTTTTGTTAAAACTGCTACCACCTATGCATTAAGTGCAAAAGGTTGAGGTGCTGACTGACTAATAGCCATGAAAAATGAGAGAAAACATATTAAGCTAGAAGATTTCACAGATTCCAAACTTTTTTTTAAATTTCTGCGGCACCCACTACTTTCAAAAGTGGCTTTGTAAAAATTATAAAATAGAATAAGCTAGCTTTTTTTCAGGAGTCCTCTAAAGGGTGGCACAGCTTCCTCCCAGTAAAGAATGATGGCTTTGTGAGCATGGTGGAAAACTACGCAGTTGGTGTGTGTGGCAATCGGGGGAGTTGGAGATTCTGTTAAACCCAAAAGGTAAAGGTGATGTGCTGGTTGTATCAGGATGTTAAATCTGTCAAAAACCTGGCAAATAAGTCTCAACAGGAAAAAAGTCAGCTGAAGACTATGAACACTGTCAGCATGATGTGGATGAAGTTGGGAAGACCTTTTGAAGTTTTACCGTGCTCAGGTATATCCTGTGGAGAAATTTGAAATGGATAAGGCAATCTCTATCAGAGCTAAGGCATTTGAAGGTATAGTTCAAACAGTCATCCCAATCCTCCTCAGCTGGGATATTAGCGGTTAGACATGTGCATTTGAATTCGGACGAACCTGCAAATCAACGAAATTCAGTTGATTCGGGGGTTCGTCCAAATCCGAAATAACACATTTTTTATATGCCCCAATATACTAAAACGATATTAGGGGATATAAAAATGAATTATCAGAACGCGCGGTGGCCATATTGGACGCCGGCGCATTCTGCACATACCCACTACCATCCATGTGTTTGCAGCGTTGGGTGACGTTATCTGCAGAACGAGCAGCGGCCAGATCGGCCGCCAGCATGTTCTGCGCATGCGCGCCGCCATTTTGGAGCATATTTTGGTATACACCAAGATGGCGGCACCCAGAAATTTCATATGGCCGCCGCTCGTTCTGCAGTTTCTTTGTGTGGTTTTCGGATTCGGAGGCTCGTTGCCTCCGAATCCTAAACAGCATTAAAATTTGTTTCCATTGACGAAATGAATGAAAATGTTTTTCATTTGTTTCGTCCGAAACAATTTTTTTTGCCCTGCACATGTCTATTAGCTGTCCAATATCCCTTGCAAGCAAGTTGTTTTGTTGAGAAGGATGACTGGAGCATTTGATAAATGGAAGAAAGGGTTTATTTAAGGAAGAATCCTGCAGTACGTTCTCTAGCTTTAGTAGCTCCGACTGTGTGGCCCAAGGGGCCAAATTACACAAGGAAAGCATGTATTAACTAAAAGAAGGGAAAAAAGGTATGAGTAAGCCATGCCAAAGGTAGCTTTAAGGACCTCAAATGATTTAAGAGTGCCACAATAGGAGGAGGATATATTTCTGCCATCAAGGCAGCCAGGTTCAACCACAGCTAAATTCATTTAGGAACTAAAGGCCAAATTTTCAAGGCAAATTGCTGACTCCCCCACAAATATTTCATATATTTCGTAATATAGTAACACTCTGTCGTGATCTTCAGCCACACCTGCTGGAACCTGGCTGCCTTGATGGCAGAAATATATCCTCCTCCTATTGTGGCTTTATAGGTATCCTAGATCATTTCAGATCATATCATTTCAATTATAATTTGTCTAGCAATAAGAGGCAAATTCTCCTGCCAACAGAAACTTGACTGACTCAAACAGTAAACAGGCAGGGGGGATAGTTGAGATTTTAACAGTATAAAGCTGTACAATATGGAGAAAGAATCTGATATGACCATAATTAATGATATGTTCTGAATCTGATACAATTAATAATATGAAAGAATCTGATATGACCATAATTATCTGATATATCCATAATTAATCTAGGATGATAACACTTCTTTAAAAAGTGTTGGTAGAGACATAGCACAAAGAAGGGGAGACCAGAAGTGCTAGTGAAACAGAGTAAACAGTTCCTATGAGCAGAAAAGGATAGCAATGACTACCTGTGAGAGGTAATATAGCAGTAGGGCCAAGTTCTTACCAGTCATCATCCAAACAATAACTGGCTGATGTAGGGTTATCAAATAATGTATCCACATCTTTGTGCGGTTTCCTATGTTTCCAGTGGTACAGCATACTATATTTCAGCCATTTAACTTACAGACATTTGCAGACATCCATGAAAGGTCTTGGATTTCAGGTGAAAAATCCAGGAAAAAGAGAAGGGTACTGTCTTTAACAGGTAGGACCTTGTCTCGGTCACTGTAGTTCAGAAATTGGACCAGGAAAGGGGGTGAATTGGCTCCAGGAATTCTGCAGCTTGTCAGGATCCTGTGGGCCCACTCGACCACATATGTAGAAGAGACCTCCATAATGGACATGAGCTTGCGGAAAATACTTTTGTGAAGACTACACGGTCCTTGCCCTTGGCTCTATTGTTGGTGTTACCGCTGTGAACAGTTAGGAGTTTCAGGAGCTGCTGTAAGGTGGAAATGGAGACCCCCTGGGAACTCAAATTGATCTCCACAGTGAAGATCTGCGATTCTGCCTTGGTGATGCAGCCTCTACTCTTGCCCAGTTCCTGCCAGATGAATGTGCACTTGATCTTATGATGATCTATTTAAGCAATCATAATGGCCTTATAGGCCTCTATAGCAACCAGGATGGCAGACTGTGAGTTCGGAGAATCATTCCGAGGCAATGAGGATGGAATGGGTTTAGGCAAAAGCCATTTCCAAGACCTTGAGGTGAGTATCTGCTAGAGAATTATAGTGTTCAGGGGGAAAATAGTATAAAGACCAGGAGAGCTATTGTTTGCTCTCGCTTTGCCAGCAGATTTCACAGCAGAAAACCTGAATTGCATGAGAAGCTGCTCTGGTGTCCCACAAAAGCGGTATCTACTTGTGGTCAGTAACATATAAGCTAAGGAAAGCATGCAGGATGATGTAGTAGGATTTATGGAGCTCTCCTGATGTGTCCATTCATGCTCACATTGTAGCCACCCTAGACCTTTAACAAATATTGATCTATTTGTGTCCAATAGTATGCAAAAATAGGCAGACCATATCAATCTTGTTTTGCAGATAAGATTACATAGATGTATTATTCTTTCTGTGTTTATTTTTTTACATACAGCAATTGTAACAAGTTGTTTTTTTCTCTCTTCTTTTTTTTTTTTTTACAGTTCTTTATACTTGTTTTACTTCTGTTCACTGTGCAACTTGTTGGTGTTATTATGGCCTTGACCTTTCAGAAAATGGTAAGAAATCATTAGGTCGCAACACTGAATTAAACTATATTTGCTGATAAATAGGGATGAGGGAATGTGTCTGGGTTTGGTTGACAGGGTGTTCATCGAACCCATCATAAAGTCTAAAATTTGCGAACTTAAATCCAAACCCCATGGAGGGAGGGGGGGGTGGGGGGGGACTTGAAAATCAAATCTGGCAATTTGTAGGGGTATTAGGCAAGAAATTGTCAAACAAAGGGAATCACTAAGCAGCACCACCCCAATCCGATTTATTACAAGTAATATAGGCTTCAGGTGTTTTGTAGAAATTGGCCCCTTGAGAGGACAGGACTTGAATAAGGCAGCAAATATAAACATCTCTTTTTCATGTATTTGCTGCCGACAGCACCATTGCGATCTAACTGAACAGAATTTTTTTTAAGTTACGCCTAAAGAACCAGGGAACACTAGAAAGGAGGTGGGACGGCATGGGTGGAGGCTGCAGAATATGGAAACACTAGGAGAGAGGTGGCTAGCTTGTGCAAAGATATAATAGGTTGTAGAGCTTTGTGTACACAGGCAGCGCACTTAAAAAAAATGTACCCCAGCACTGCAATTCAGAGAACTCAAACATAGTTTGGTAAAGTAGTCATAAATGCAACCACTAAAGAAAAAACTGAAAATTCAACATAATATATACACCATCAGTCCATACTGTGAGGCTATTAGCACCATATAGCAGTGATACAGAAAAGGTAGAACAATTTTTACTTCGCTCCATATATAGCTGCATAAAGTTACAGTTTCAGCAAAGTTGTACAGGTGAAACTCGAATAATTAGAATATCGTGCAAAAGTAATTGCAGTAAGTGCTGCAAAAGGGGCCCAAACCAAGTACTGAGTACATATGCATGCTTGTACTTTTCAGAGGTCCGATATTGTTCTATGTACAATCCTTGTTTTATTGATTGCATGTAATAATCTACTTTTTTGAGGTTGTGGATTTGGGGTTCTTGGGGTTTTCATGAGCTGTAAGCCATAATCATCACAATTATGACAAATCACCGCTTGAACTATCTTGCTTTGCATGTAATGAGTCTATCTCATATATTAGTTTCACCTTTTAAGTTGCATTAGTGAAATAAATGAACTTTGCACGACATTCTAATTATTCGAGTTTCACCTGTATATGCAAATTAGTAACGTGACCAGAAAAGACAAAAAATAGGCCCCAGGCCCAAATGACGACTGCAGTTGGATTCCAGTAACACAATTGTCTAAAATATCAGGGGTTTCTATGGATACCAATATTACCATCAAAGTTGGGTGGAGGTTATTTTAAACCAAGTAAGACACAGTAGTTTTATAGGCGAACCAACAGGCCTACAGTCTATTAAAGCAGTCTCAGGTGCTAAGAATTAGTTCCTCCAGAATACATGTCTGGTCTATTCTTTAAAACCAAAGTTGTTTCCAATATAGTGGGATAAGAGACTTGACCGCATTTAACTAGTGAGGGGTATAGACTGCTCATAGCTATCTATTGGCTTCCCTGCACAGTGAAACATTTTCCATGGGTCTAACTGAACCAGTACTTCCTGTATAGAGTGTCAGGGAACCAAGAAACCAGACGGAAACTAAAAGTGCAGGTTAAAAAATAAAGGAGATTATTGAAAGTGACAATAAACAAAGTAGCAAATAATAGGTAAATCCATGACTTAGTCAGAGCCGAGCCAGAGGTCAGAAGCCAAAGCGAGTAGTCAGTAGAGCCAGGTCTGGGAACGCAGAGAGCAGGATGAGTGAGTCCAATAGCTGGAGTCTGGAACCAGGAGGTAAGTAGACAGAGCCAGGATTATACACAGAGCACAGAAAGAAGCAGAGAGCACTTGGTAGGTCTGAACAAACACAAAGGTGAAAACCAAGTGAAAAGTCGGATGATTATATAGTAAATGTGATTTGCATCATCACTGTGAGATATTTGCCAGTAGTCGTAGAAAGATGAAGTTTACGGGTTTGGTCATAAGAGGGCACCTAGGAGCAACAGTCAGTGTTAGAAACATTGCACACAAGCTGAACCTGCAACTCAAGTGGACAAGGAAAGGTAAAAAACCCAGACATAGCCTCAATAATAACAGCAATTTCCGACCAGTAATTTTCAATTATCGGGCATTGATACCAGATCTGGTAACAATGCCGAAAGAGCATAACAGATATCTCTGAAGATATAGAGTTCAACTTGGCTAAGGTGAGATACCACCTACAGAGAAGCTTTTAGTTCATCTCCTTTATCTTCCTCTATCTACTGGTGTCCAGGGGTGAACATCACAAGATAGAGATCTATACTTTTTCGGCAACCAACACCCAGCACTAAGAGCCACATTACACAGATCTGACTCTAAATTAACACACAGTTTAGTAAGTTTATTCCCAGTCAAGTAATATAACTAATGATACTTCCTTAGGTCTAGCCAAGATGCCATGGGAGATCCCTGCTCTTTTTCAGTTTCAAATAAAATGGGAGACTAGGGAGTAATAAGACTTTAAAAAAGGTAGAAGGCACCCCTGTGGGTATCAACTGGAAAAGAAAAAGAAATCTTGGGGGATGTTCATTTTTTCATTCATTATCCCATTCATTTTTCCTATCCATGAGTGATATAGGGAGGCCCACTGGTGAAGATCCTTTCGTACTGTGTTCAATAACAGTATACTGTTTAATTACAAAGGAATAAGTCATTTAGATTTGGAATAAGATAAATACCCAGGTATTTCAACTTATGTGGTTCACACACCTCTCTAGATGGCAGGGTGAGATTAATTGTATAAATTATTTAATTGATTGATTTAGGATTTGGTGAGAATCATTTTAAAGTTAGTGATCTCTTTATAGACCCTCAGGGCTGCTACAATTTTTGGAATGGTGATACAGGGCTGTTGTATGTAAAACAACATGTCATCTGCGTGTGTTGCACATTTGTTTTCCCTCACCTACACACCATGTATGTCCTGTTGGTATCTTATGGTTGACAAAACAGGTTTCAGGGATATCGCAAACAGGACGGGGGAGAGAGGGCATCCCTGACGGGTTCCATTAAGGGGAATGTCTTGTCCAACAGCGATACGAACCTAAGCAGTAGGGTCACTATGTCGTATAAGCTTTAACATCTGATAATAGTAATATAATGGCCCTAGTTTGGACAATTTGTGTAAGGGGTGACAATGCTCTGCTCCTGTCTCCCATAATCTCCTGCCTGCATTACCCAGGAAATGTGGGGGCTGTGAAAAAAGAAGGCTTTGAAAAAAATTGCAGCCTGCAAAAAAAAAAAATAAACCTTTTTAAAAACACACATTAGGTCTGTTATGATTGTAGACTAGATTCGATTTTGCATGTGGGGAGGCTGTAAATCAGCTGCAGGACACAAATCAGCAGCATTCACAGCTAAAAATCCCCTCTCAACCCCCAAATCCCCCAAAATGCGCAGCATATTTCACTCTAAAGGGAGAGTTTACATCTAGTTTAACATACCAGTGCCTACAAGCACCAATCTGTCCCCATGCACTTTATCAGCTTAATTCCCTAGGCTTTCACTATCCCAGATAAGCACATTGTCAATAGGATAGCTGGGAACCCTGCCTTTTTCTAGCAAGGTGCTGGCATGTAAGAAAGCCTTCCCATTTGACTTACGTTTAGAGGCCAGAAAGTGCATTATTAGTAGTTGGTTGCTATGGTGGCAAATGGCAGCATGGGTTCACCATGTCTGCGGATGATTTGGGTTCACTGCTTGGCATAAACCCAAAGCTCATCCCTACTGATAAACTGCAGCATCTCATTCTTGATTCCCTTACAGATAAAGGAAGATCATTTTCGGGCTGAGCTACAAAAGTACTACAAAGGAGACAACTCTTCTGAAGTCTTCAGCCAGTCATGGAACACCATTATGATCGCAGTAAGATATTTACATGAGTGTGAGCTGAAGGACCAGTAAACTAATGCGCATGTTATTTTATGTAGAAAAACTACTTATACTATCTATGCAATAGTTCTCCAGTTTGCATAGAAATGTAAATGTTCAACAATATTTTTAATATTACTTATTAGGCTATTCTATTTTTCCCAGACATTTTATGCTAAAAGAAGCATACTGTTGTCATTTTCTATGGGGTAACTACACAAAACATGAATTGTCTTTTAGAAAATCCTAATCATAATCTGTATTGCAAATACTAATAATTTCCTGAAATGTTTACAAATATTATTTCAATGGTTTAAATACTGTTCAATATAAATCGGCTTGTAAAGTTGTTTATATCTGTAAGACCTTAGATTTAGAAGCAATGTGTGCCTGATAATTGTGGCTTGAATATCTGGGTGAGCTTAGCAGCACAGGTAGTGACTTTCATAATATTTTGGTATATGTGCGGATTAGTGAATATATTGAAGTATAAAAACAGTACAACAGGAGTACATTAAAGTTTAACAGCAGTAACATTGCAGTACAAAAAAGTACATCTGCAGTAAAATGAAGTACAATTGTTGATTTGCAATATAATGAAGTATAGATACAGTATAGCTGCAGTTTGGTGATACTCTACTGCACTTTGTGCCTACTGCACTCGTACTACTGTACATTGTACATTGTACTGCAGTTATGCTGTATTGTGCAACATGTAGTCAGTGCTGTGGTTACAGTACTACTCTACAGCAAGTAAAAGCTATGGACCACTGCTATGCAACATCAGCAGGTCTATTTACTAAAGGGTGAAGGGTTTGGAGAAGGCAGGAGAAGTGAACAATCCCGGCCAAAATAGCTGATTTGGAAAAATTCTCCAATTCAGCTCACTTTCCTGTTCACCTATGTTGTACTAGATTGTTCACTTCTCCTGCCTTTTCCAAACTCTTCACTCTTTAGTGCATAGCCCTGTTAGATGTACTACAGTAATACATCAGCTGTATTGCAGTAATACTGCAGTTATATTGCAAGTTGTATTTTAGAAATGCTCACCTGTACTGCAGTTGTATTGCAGTTGTATCCTACTAGTATTTTAGATGTACTGCAGTAATACTTCAGCTGTACTGCAGTTGCACGGCAGTATTACTTCTTAAAAAATGCTGTATTTTTTTGTAAGGGTGAGCCAGTGACATCAGTCTCTGCACCAAAGGAGCTTACACTCTATTGTCCCCCCACAGTCACACACTATTATTATTATTATTATACATTGCTATAGCTCGGATACATAATGCAGTACAGAAAATACTGAAATACTCTGCACCAGAGTAGTTTACACTCTAATGTTCCTCCACAGTCACACACTATTATTAAACATTGATATTAGGGATGCACTGATACAATTTTTTCCAGACCGAGTACGAGTACCGATACTTTTCCTCAAGTACTTACCGATGCCAATTACTGATACTTTTTTTAGTGTTGTGACAGTTTTTCTAAAAAATATAAAGACTTATAATTTTAGAACAATGGTGGAGCGTTGGGGTCTGGTCGCAGCTGCAACTTCTGCTGCTGCTGCGACCCTGGTAATTCTATCACTGACTCCAAGCTGTAGTGGGACCACAAATCCCAGCAATACATTATATAGCAATGCAGATTGGCACAGACTATAGAGGACTACAAATCCTAGCGATACATTATACAGCAATACAGAATAACAGTATATTAATTTTCTACATACTATATGCTGCCGCTCTGCTATGGGGTTTCGGCATGATATCTCGGGTGGAGGGTCTCACCAGGGGCAGATGCGGAGGGTCTCACCAAGAGCACATGCAGTGGGTCTCACCAAGGGGCACATGCGGAGGGTCTCCACAGGGGAACATGCAGAGGGTCTCACCAGGGGCACATATGGAGGGCCTCACCAGGGGAACATGGAGGATCTCACCAAGGGCAGATGTGCGGGCTGGCGGAAGCGCTCTGAGATGTGCGGGCCGGCGCTGTAAATAGGCAATGTTGTGATTCCCCAGAAGGTTGCCATGAGGTCCCCAGGTAGTGCAGGACCTTACGACAGCTGAATCTACTTAAAAATGTAAAGACCCAAGAGGTGTGTGTCGTTGGGCAGGGGGGTTCTATTAATAAGAAATGAGCACAGGTTCAGACTAAACCCTAGCTGAACCTGACCCCCTCTGAACCCAGAAGCAACATGAGCACAGGTTCAGACTGAACCCTAGCTGAACCTGACCCCCTCTGAACCCAGGAGCAACATGAGGCCACCTTACCAATGAGCTGCACAGTGTCCTCTAAGCAATATGTCAAATGTTCAGGTACTCTAGTGTGAGTTTTAGACGTTATTACAGTTTTAGTGTTGGGCTTGCTGCCAACCAACACATAAAAGGAAGACACAAATGAAGTATGACCCTTGCATTTTTTCCTCCTAGCTGTGACATTGAAACTGCAACAACAAATCTTTTTGATGTAACTTACAGTATGCTCACTTTCTAAAAAAAACCCCGACTTACAGCAACCACTACCTTCTCCCATCCTTCTTCCCAGTCCACCAGACTAAAAATGATAGCTTGATTCTGTGTGCTGAGGTTTTTTATATTGGGTCAATCTGAACAAATGAATACATGGCAGCAAAAAACATAAGTTAATTACCCCACTAATCACTTATAAGAATTTGCTGCAAGCAAGGCTGTGTGATCTGCTACAAAGAAGATTCACATAATTTGGTTCACTTATCCATATATTTCCTTTGGTAAGAAAATACATTGGTGGACATCTATCAATTCTGTCACATAGCAAAGCAGTGCTAAACAGGAGCAGTGAGACAACTTGTGAGAGATTTATTGCAAGGTTACAGCAAGAGTCATTCATTTCTTTCTCCTGTAAAGTAGCGCTGGGACAGAATAAAACCTGACCCCGACCACTCCTTAATTATGTGACTGTTTAGAGTGGGAACCTGTGCATTTTTTGTAATAAATCTGTCTTAAAACTTTGCAAACTGTCACACTTGTCTGACCAGGAAATCAGACACAGAGATCTGTAAATCTGATGCAGAGACTTTTCTGAAGGAGAGGCAGCCAGATTTGCCACTAATTATGTCACTGATTTACTTGATAAATGTCCCCCATGGTATTTATTCTATTTCTGTCCCATGCTGCTGATCCCTGTGGACATAATTCACTTCAATGCCATAGTAATTAGGTTTCCTGTAACAGTACTGAAAGACATGTCTCCAGCGGAAGCCAAAGCGGTACTCACTCAGGATTCTACGGGTTTTCTTTTCTTTTTGAACTTAACCACTCCTTTGCAGTTATACCTTCTAGGCACCAGGAGCGCTAAGGATTGGTGCCAATCAGCAAGAGGTATCGGTGTTTTGGGAAAAATCCCCCTCTTCTGGGGACATCCTTGAAAGCACAAAAAAATGGTAGCAGTGTTCTCAAAGGAGAGGACACTGTTAAGAGATGGTTACTAAACAGACCGAGACCTTTTTCTTGTAAAAATATAAACTTTATTTGTTACAAAATCTCATATTTATCGCACCCGTAATTCCATTTCTATAACAAAATCTACATATAAAAAAAAAAAACAACGTTGTCCATAACATTCATACATGCATACTTTCATACATACTATGCACTCACACAGATTGCGGCTGTTATTATTTTCAAAACTTTTTACAGAGGGAATTCTCCCAATATAGCTTTTAGACCCTCTCGGTACTTTTTCCTCTTTGAAAATGTAGAAAATTCAGCAAAAAGAAGGGGGAGGGGGTGGGGAGGGGAAAAAAGGAAAGGGGAAAACTGAGCTGTGACTTTACTTTGAGGTATAGGTTTGACCTGTTCCTGGCATCTGATGCGTAGAGAGTACAATGAACTAGGGACTGTTTATCCTGTTTATCTATAATTGAGGGAGAGGAAGTCTCTGTAATCCATATGATTAAAGGTATATGACCCTTGAGTGTGTGTTTCACATGCTGTGTCACCCACACGAACGGCAGCTCCCTCACGGACCATAGAAATGACCTTGTTTCCTGAACCAAGATGATTGGAATTCAAACGTCTGGAAATCACTAAACACATTGTACTGAAGTACCAAGGAAAAAAACTCTGAGATATCGGAACAACCAGAGAACAACCAAAGGGATATACATGGTATATCGGAGCTCCAGGGTACCAAACACTTTTTTTCTCTAACATCCTTGAAAGCACCATGGTGGTAGTTTGGGTGACTGTGATCATTAGCATTCATATATAGAAGGTGGTTCAAAGGCCTTGAATCATAGGCTTGTAACCTAGGACATTTCTTGCTAATGAAAAGGTTTATACACATTTCCTAGGTCTAGCAGTGCATCTACATAACCGTTGCACTGTGCGATAGTACCTTTTCATGTGGTGGGAGCAGGTGAAAATTGAACGTCTTCACTCAGTGGTCTAGCTTTTTTTATCCGGTGTTAAAATAACATGAAAAATCAGGGTCAATATGTCAAATTTTACCAAAAAAATTAAAACCTTGTAAAAAAGATTGAAAAAGTAGAAGCTGCACAAAAACAGTAATAAACTTACAAGTTTAGTTTGAAATAATATAATCTTAAAGGTGCACTAAAATATTTATACATTTAAAGAAATTTTTTACTACCCAATAGAGATGCAGATACACATAAAATTTACTTGACTTGAGTGAAAAAGTATACTTATACTCCCATTCTACTTACATCTTTCTTTTAATGTTTGTCCTTCATTTACTAGCGTTAGTAAATATTGTGCATATGCACTGCCTGACAAAATAAAAGTCACACACTCTAATGTTTCGCTGGATCGCATTTGGACCGCAAATGGCACACATTCTCTGTGGCATCGTTTTGATAAGCTTATACAATATCACAACATTTATTTCTGTCCAGAGCTGCATTAATTTTTCACCAAGATCTTGTAGTGATCATGGGAGATTCAGACCAGGACAGCATTCTCAAGCACAGCAAGGATACAATGGATATTGACCCCTTCCTAAGTACTCTTCTCCTTGCCAAGGATCATGCAAACATCCATCTTAGGTCAGCATCACCGCTAACATTGATTTGATATCTTTCAATGTATCTGATCTGTCAAGGAGATTTTAGGGGGTTATACTCACCACTTCGTGCAGCTAAATGTGTATAATGGGCATGTGGATTGTTAGCAAATCAACCACCCTCCCTATTCCTACAAATCAATCTACCTCAAAATACTCCCATCACCCCCTACCCTCCCTAACCCTCCCCTTTAATGCCCCTTGCTGGTGCACACCAATCTTCAGGACCTCAAATTATACCCCCCTTGTATACAAAAAATAAAAAACAACACAAAACGCATCCCCCCATATATGTATACACTGAGTGACCAGATTATATGACCACCTGACGTTTTTAGGCAAATTAGCTATAATTAGCTATAATTTCGCGCTGAAGTTTCTAGAGGGCCAGACCATTATAAATAAGGAAGCAGGTTGTTTGCCACAACAGTAGAAGTGATTTTTTTCTGAAGATATGGTTAAACAACGCGATTTAACAGCCTTTGTACGTGGGATGATTGTTGGCGCTCGGAGCCATGAAGTGAGTATCAGCAAAACAGCAGAATTCCTTAAATGTTCAAGAGCAGCTATAGCCGCGCATGCACACTTCAACTATAGGTTTCCATCTAATTGTTTACTCGCAGCCTAGCAACCCTTGCCGTTTCCTATCCAGATTGATTACTCAAGCTGCGATTTGACTCCTCTCTCTGTAATCATTTATACATAGTTTAAAGATGCATTATACAAATCTATCAGTTATAACGAATCTCGATAAAGAAAGATAATTTTCTACTTATTATACAATCATTATTCATGTATTAAACATTTGTTATTTTTCATACACTATATTACCAAAAGTATTGGAACACCCCTCCAAATCATTGGATTCAGGTGTTCCGTGAAATTGTCTTGCTACTAAATATTCCACAGTCAACTGTTGGTGGTATTATAACAAAGTGGAAGCAACAGCAACTCAGATACGAAGTGGTAGGCCCCGTAAAATGACAGAGCGGGGTCAGCGCATGCTGAGGTGGACAGTGCGCAGAAGTCGCCAACTGTCTGCAGAGTCAATAGCTACAGACCTCAAAACTTTGTGTAGCCTTCAGATTGGAACATCAACAGTGCAAAGAGAGCTTCACAGAAATGGTTTCCATGGGCGAGCAGCTGCATCCAAGCCTTACATTACCAAGTGCAATGCAAAGCTTCGGGTGCAGTGGTGTAAAGCACGCCACCATGGGACTCTAGACAAGTAGAGACGTGTTCTCTGGAGTGATGAATCATGCTTTTCTGTCTGGCAATCAGATGGACGTGTCTGGGTTTGGCAGTTTCCAGGAGAACGGTACTTGCCTGACTGCATTGTGCCAAGTGTAACGTTTGGTGGAGGGGGGATTATGGTGAGGGGTTGGTTTTCAGAGGTTGGGCTTGGCCTCTTAGTTCCAGTGAAGGGAACTCTTAAGCCATCAGCATACCAAGACATTTTGGACAATTTCATGCTCCCAACTTTGTGGGAACAGTTTGGGCATGGCCCCTTCCTGTTCCAACATGACTGCGCACCAGTGCACAAAGCAAGGTCCATAAAGACATGGATGAGTGAGTTTGGGTGGAAGAACTTGACTGGCCTGCGCAGAGTCCTGACCTCAACCCGATAGAACACCTTTGGGGTGAATTAGAGTGGAGACTGCGAACCAGGCCTTCTCGTCCCAACATCTTTACCGAACCACACATTTACAGTTCTGGAAGAGTGGTCAAACATTCCCATAGACACACTGCTAAACCTTGTGGATGCCTTCCCAGAAGAGTTGGAGCTGTTATAGCTGCAAAGGGTGGGCCAACTCAATATTGAACCCTACAGACTAAGACTGGGATGCCATTAAAGTTCATGTACGTGTAAAGGCAGGCGTCCCAATACTTTTGGCAATACAGTGTATATATGCACTTAGTGGCCAGATTATTATGACCACCCCATCAGTACTTCGTTGGGCCACGAGATGACTCCACGAGATGACTTTGTTGGACCGCCACGTGACTCCACGAGATGTTGAAAGGTGATGCGAGGAATCTGACACTGCACTGTTGCCCTTCTGTTGTCTTGTACCAGTCTTGCCACTCTCCGTTCTGCCCTAACATTGACTAGTCGCTGACGGCCACAATTTGCACGACCAAACCCAGATTTTCTGCTGACAGTCCAGTCTTTAAACACTTTAACAACAGCTGCTCTTGAACATTTAAGGAATTCTGCTGTTTTGCTGATACTCGCTCCATGGCTCAGAGCGCCAACAATCATCCCACGTTCAAAGGCTGTTAAATCGCGTTGTTTACCCATATCTTCAGAAAAAAATCACTTCTACTATCGTGGTTAACAACCTGCTTCCCTATTTATAATGGTCTGGCCCTCTAGCTACTTCAGCGTGAAATTATAGCTAGTTATAGCTAATTTGCCTACAAATGTCAGGTGGTCATAATAATCTGGCCACTCAGTGTATATATTATTTGGGTTAGTTTAAGTATATCCCTATCCATTACCACGCATGCCCTACAGTGCCCATATGGTCGCACTGCAGTGATCCTAAATCCCACTCCCCTTTCCCCCAGACTGGCGTTAGGCAATTAGAAACTTTTACCTTATACAATTTATTCTATATAATTTTAAAAAAAACATTTATTTAAACATAAGAAATATATACACCAAAATCCTATATCAAGTCTTTAGACCACCTTCCTGGGTGTAGGCACCTCTGTTAAAAAAAAACCTGTTGTTCAGTTCTTAACCCAATTAAGTCGTTTCAGCAATCTCCTTAGCTGTTTTCTTTGCTTGATGCAGGCCAATAATTTGACCCTTCTAAAACAGAGTTACATCTTTTCCATGACCACAGGATATGTCTTCTGACATGTTTTTTTAAGAAATGAGAAGCTACTCACTGCATCAGTTGGGGTTAAATAACTTGTTGCCAGCTGATACATATGAAGCACTGCAGTAATTTTCCAATGGAAGGGACTTATCTGTTTTGTTAGCTAAATCCAGGTGGTGACTTTATTTTGGCCAGGCAGTGTATTTGAGACGGCTAAATATTATTTTGCTCTATTTTATTTTTATGCTAAATCAATGTGTGCTTTTCTATTTGGCTGTTTCAGCTGTCGTGTTGTGGCATATCTGGGCTTGGTGACTTTGGTAACAAATCGCATTTCAATGATCTGTACCCTTCTGCTCCATGGCCAGAGGCCTGCTGCAAACGAGATGACCCAGTTGGAGTTATTAAGGACAGACAGAAATGTATGGAGAATACTCCAGACTACACTAACAATCAGGTAAAATATTATATATTCACACAGTATATGTGTATATGTGTATATGAATAATATCCACTGATCCCCTGGAGGGGGAAACAACATAGTTCCAGATTTCTTGGGCTAATTGAAATGCATTTATAGGAGCTGTTTTACCTGCAAAAGGATTTATATTTCTCTAGCTCTTGCAAACAGCACATCATGGTCTGCCAGGGCAATAGATTTTTCTTTATTACATTAAAAAAACGGTTAGGACTTGTTCCTGCACCATGTTTGTAACTGAGCATAATTTAGGGGATTACAAGAGGCTAATGCAAAGTCAAATTCAGATACTTCCTCTGCTGGCATTTAAACAAATAATGTATTTATGAATACAGAGCTGCATTAATTTGTTTCTTTTTTATCTGTCTGGACTTCAGTTTTAAGGTTCTTCCACATGTGTATGACTTTTAGTGCCACAGGGACTAGTGTTTTTTTTTTCTTTTACAGAAAAGGTTTTTGTTTGAAATTGCATTGGGATTATTTCATGCTTTTAGGTTAGGTGCAAGTGTTTCTTTGTATAAAATATGTGCAGTATTTTAATTTTTTTATGTGTCCCAGGGCTGTTTTATCACCATTGCCAAAAGTTTGAAGAAATATGTTTCCATAACAGGAGGTGTGGGCTTTGGGGTTCTTGGTACTGAGGTAAGCTAAGCTTAAAAAATTACTAAAACAGTTGTAAGAACTTTGAAGCTTGTGCAGATATTATAAAATCATGGTGAATACAGTTATGTAATTGTGCGTCACTGTTCACACTATAACATTAGGGTTGTGTTGTGCAAACAACACATACACAAAAATAAATCATTCATGCAGACAGTTCTGTTTGTTCTCTCACAAATAAGATCAAATTTCCAGGTACAGTACTGGGTCCCAGCAACTAAATGGTTACTTTATGCCAAATAGAAAAAAAAAAAAACCACACACAGTGTTTGTGATTGATTATGGCGGTTCAGGTTGCAGCCAACTTTTATACTGAGATTTGGCTTTTTAATACGCGAGGAGGTAGCTGCGTGGGGATGAATTGTTTGAGAACGTGATGGTTGAGTGGTTAGGTTGAGGAAGGATAGGCTTCCCTGAAGAGATGAGTATGAAGGGATCGCCTAAAGGCAGTCAGAGTGGGAGATAGACAGATAGGTTGGGGTAAAGAGAGTTATTAAATAATTGTGTACAAAGACAAGGCAATCAATTACAGTTTTACTGTAGTCCCATCAACTTGTTCATTGAACTCCTTCTACTGTATTTCTTTGGCCACTGATCCCCAGCTTAAAAGCAAAGTACCATTATTTAATTTCATATAAAGCCGGTCTTTGTGAATTAAAATAACATGATCTGGCCCTAGCTTCCATTATCATCACATCTATGCAGTCACTTTGTAACTAAATGAATAAAGAGGGTTTTAAAAGCTATTACTATTTTCATAAATGCCTTCAAAGAATAGGTGTATAAAAAAACCACTTCAGCACAAGTTGTCTCATAGAATTTGATAGCTAGTCCAAGGCCCACTTTTTTCTAGCTTGACAACATACAGTAGTAGCTAAGACTATTCATAGGAGTAGGCTGTGTAGGGAACACAAGGTACAAATGTAATGCTTGAAAGGCCATCCATATCTGCCTGTTCCGTGCTTGGCATTTCTTAGTGAATTTATCTATGTCCAGTGATAGTGATCTACTCCAAAACATATGTAATTGTATCACATACGATTACATCAGTCTGCCACTTACAGATGCGGCCACTGTTACCTGGTCATTAATTTGAATGGTGACAGTGGCTGCATCTAAACAGAAGACCTGGGATTACTGCTGGAGGAATCACAAATCACCCAGTGTGAATGTAGACTTAATTGCTATGGGCAGCTCAAGATTTGCTCCAGTTGTCTTTCAAGGTTTGATCATTTCTGTGGGTTTAAATCATGAGTGTTGCTGAAACTCAATTACCATCCTACAAGATCTTTAATTTGTGGAAAAAAATAGCTTTTTTACTTCTTTAATAGCTTGATACTCTTCAACTTGTTTTACATGTTTACCTACAGATGTTCGCTATGTTCTTTGCACTTTGTCTTTACTACAACTTTGACTAAAAGCTAGAAGATATGGCTGGATGCAGGAATAAAAAGAACACTTAACCAGGAGATCTACAGAGAAGAAAAAAATCCCACACAACCTGGACATTTCTCTCCACATTTCTCTCTATATGAATAATTGTTTAAAATAGGAGTCTTCAAATAATAGTAACATATTTCAGTTAAGTTGTCACTAAATCCTAAAAAATCTGCAGTAAAGAGTGCAATACACTTTTTAAAGATATTTTGTATATCACATATTCATGCTAATTAGTAGTGTTCAGTAATTAGCTTGACTAATCATGTTTGTGAAACCACAGTACAGTAGGATGTACACATAGATTCTGTGACTCAACATGGTATTTTTATACAGAGATGAACATGATACAATATCTACGCTTACAAAAAGCTTTCTCTTGTTAGACATGGTTCAAATATGTACCACGCTTGCTGCAGTGGCGGATCCGGGGGGGGGGATGTGAATACAACAGGCGGCTGCCTGTCATTGACAGTGATCACTGTTAGCCTGGTGGAGGTGGAGGCGGAGCCGATATCCGTCTCTGCAGGTAGCCACAGCCACATCCTGATATGTGGGTCAGCGTGAGTCAGGACCCTCTCCTGTGACCCCTCCCCTCCACTGGCCACCAAGGAGAGGTGCTGCAGCCTGGATGTAGGTAAGGTTGGGGAGTCTTTGGGTGATGGCTGGCTTGGGGGGATTGGGGGACTGTAGCTGGGCTGGTGGTATTCAGCATTGCTGTATAACGATTATACAGCAATGCTGAATACCACCATCCAAGGGCCCGCGGGCGTCACCCCCTCTGCCCCCCACTAAATGAAGCCCCCGGCCGCAGGTGCAATGGTTCCCTCCCTCCGCCGCCTCACTGCCACATGCACCGCTACAGATGCGGCTCTCTAATCGTGCGGCCGCTCACTCCTCAAGGGGTACTCGGGGGGGCCCCAGCGTGCAGCCCTCTAACATACCTGATTAGAGGGCTGCATCTGCCTGCTCCAGCCAGCCCGGATCGCCTTGGTATACCCTTGAGAAGCGAGCGGCTGCGCAATTAGAGAGCCGCATCTATAGAGGTGCAGGTGGCAGAGAGGCGGTGGAGGGAGCCACTGCACCTGCGGCTTCATTTAGCGCAGGGGGTTCGGTGACGGGATCTACTGTGGGCAAACTGGCTGGTGCGGCCACAGGAGAGCCCTCACTACCAACCAGAGCCCCCACTGACCACCAGGTAAAGGTGACCAGTTTTTTTTAAATCCAGGAACATTTTTAAGGGCTCATTCACACTGGAATCGGCCGGCACGTACAGCTCCGTGCTGTGTGCACGGCTGTATCGGGCAGCTCCTGGGAAGGACAGGTGCTGCATGTGATTAGTACACAGCCCCCATTCTTCTCTGTGGGACTACGCGGCCGTACGGGGCCGTCTGCGTCCGAGCAAGGAAACATGCACCCATACGGACGTGCTGGGCGGGTGAGCATAGGGGGGCGTACGGCCGCATACACCCAGGAAGAAGGACAGGGGCTGCATACTAATCATACGCAGCACCTGTCCTTCGCGGGAGCTGCCCGATACGGCTGTGCACGCAGCATGGAGCTGTACGTGCTGGCCGATTCCAGTGTGAATGAGCCCTACATGTCTCCAGGAACATAAAATAAAACATTTTTGTTTTTTAATACTCACCTGATGCCTCGATCCACCTACAAGCCCAGCTTCCCATCTCCCCCGCTGTCAGAAGCTGCCTACAGAGCGTGCTGGTTACTACTTAAACCGCTGCGCTGTGTGCAGCTTCTGAGAAGATACGCTATTAGCGTGGCGTGAGTGATGCAAAATGCGCAGCCGGCATCCTCGCTATGCTAATAGCGTATCTTCTCAGAAGCTGCACACAGTGTGCCGGTTTAAGTAGTAACCAGCACACGCTGTATGCAGTTTCTGACAGCGTGGGAGACAGGAGGCTGGGCTTGTCTGGATCCAGGGATCTACTTAATTTTCTGGCAGTGCCCCTCCCGAGAATAGACTCTGGATCCTCTCCTGCCTTGCTGTAATAGCTACAAAAGTTATCCGTCTCAGAGTCTGGCCAAAAACCACCAGCAACAGCCTATAGGCCAGTACACTAATCAGATATGTTGGCCAGTTAGCCCTGAGTGAAGATAATCCCACATTCAGGACCTTGATCAGAGTGAAACTCACAGTCAGTGGCAGCTACTGGGTATTTGTATAGATACTGTTCCCTATTGAGATTTGTGACCCCAGTGCCTTACCGAGGGAAGTCTCCCAGCACCAATTTAGTTAGCAGCTTTTAGATGTCTTGTGACATAGCTGCTGTTTATGTTAAACCTACTTCCCCTTATATAGTCTTTGTGGGGCTGTAGTTCCAAAAAAGCAGCCAAGTATACTGTATATTTCTGATCACAATCCACAATCTTGCTGACTTCTCCACTGTTCAGCCACATTAGCTAGCCTGAAAGTCTACCAAAAGAAATATGCTGTTTGTTTGTTTCTCCCTCCACTAAAGAGATTCTGCTAAATTCCTGTTCTGGTGAACACACAATTAGTGAGATGAAAATCTTACCATCAGGCACACATAGAGCAATAAAAACCTCACAACTGTTTGAACCCTTTTCCACTTTATCCAATACTAAAAGGTTTTTGGCTGGAGTTGGGCTTTAAGGTGTTAGGTTTTTTTTTCACACATCACACTCCTATAGTTCAATGGCTCTCACTCGTTGAAGATTAAACAAACAAAACAAAATTATTCCATTGAAAAATAGACATCCCAAAGTACTGGAGAAGTAATATATTGTAAAATTGTCACTTATTCGGTTCTTTCAAATATTACTGGATAATATTGGATAAGATAACATAAAAAATAAAAACGTGGCATTTTTCATTATGTTGTCAGTTTTTACTTATCTTTTTTTTTTCCTGCACAGCAGACCAACTCCTGTATTTATAGAGTCACTTTTGATTATAGCAATACCCATGTGTGTGTGTTGACTTTCACGTAGTGTTACTTCTGTCATTTACTTTCAGATACCATACTTTGTTTGCAGTGGTCCATCCATGCCAAAACCTCAAAATCACCCCAGAAAAAGACAGAATTGACAAAAGTAGACACCTCATGGTACATAATGCTGAACTTAGCAGTTATGTTTAAAAATTAATTTACTGATTTATTAATTAATACATAACTGCATTAATTATTGTGCTAGCAGCTAAATGCAAGGATGAAAAACATGTATTGAAGCTGTCTTACCTGACAAGAAATTTCTATTTCTGTCCATTCTGTCCTGAGAGTTGCATAACCCTGCAAGACAGCACAGCCAAGTTGGTGATCTGACTTTTTCTACTGATCATCTACCTGCCAACTGTTGACTGGAGAGTGAAAGAGTAGCAGACTGATGAGGTTATATCTCCTCCTACCTTTCATCAGCATGATCCCTCTTAGCACATGTGCATGCTGCATTTCTGATTTGTTCTTTGTTCTGGCCCTCCCTGTGCCAGTCTGAATGTTGTTATTCAGAAAACAACAAGAAACTGATACCAAATCATACTTAACAGTTATGTTTTTGGATTTGGCTCATTTTAGAAATATCCTGACTCCAATCAATCTTACCATGGAAATTAGATTTTTCACCAGTGCAGCACATCTCTTGTCCATCATATCAACTCAAGTCAGACAGTGTTATCTTCGATGTGTATAACATAAATCCTGTTTCTGTTAATACAGTCCAGTGAGATGACAATTGAGGGACAACCAGATCTGCAGCTCTTACTAAAAGGACTTGCAAGTGCCCTCATCAATTGCAAATAGCATGAATGTGTGCTAACCCATGGGAAAAGTAGTTTGCCCTGCCTGCATTCTATTCTAGTATTGATCTCTGAGGGAGTTCAACCTTCAGGTCTTATTTCCCATGTACCATAACTTTTAGGTGAACTCCTGGAAGGGACCATCAGACCTTTGTTCTAGTCCTTTCCTTTGGAACTTCGGGACTTTACTAAAAAGGTATCTCAAAATTGGGCTTCAGAGGGAGACAGTTTCTCCAGACCCTGGGGGATGGGGGTATAATAGCTGTTTACCACAAGGGGAAAAGCTTGTACCTAAGTCAGACATTTATTTATTTTATTTATTACAGGTATTTAGGGTAATTTTCGCTCCATAAGACACACTTTTTCCCCCCCAAAAGGCTGGGAATAGTTTGACTAATAATTATTATGACATGCAACACTGTACACAAATTAATTTGATATAATTTTTTTAAGCAGATAAAGCTTTCTTTTGGTGATATTTAATACATGCTAATATTTCTATTTAGTGCTATTGAAAGGAAAAAAATAAGATTTTTGAATAAAAACTGTCTATCTTACTTTCTGTTTAAAAAAATGGCTGGACAGTACGAACACCCTAAAATGACGCCTTTTGGGAAAGTAGACACCCTAGCGTGATCTCATTTTTTGCTGCATTTTTTTGTAAATGAAGAAACATAGTGCCATTGAGGGGCCTAAAACACGGAGCTTGGTAATGGTGAACTAGATACAGCACATCAGGTCATACACAGAGGGATCAGGAGGTGAAGAGGTTAATGTACAGGTCACATACAAAGGCTGGATGGAGATGAAAGGGCTATTTTGTAGTTGGGCAGGAGGATATGGGAGATGAAGGGTTAATGTACAGGTCACAGTACAAAGGCAGACTGTAGTCTAGGGTAAGCTTATAGTAGAGGATTACTTTCATTATTCATAGCTCTGCCAGCAGCTGGTGCTGTCCTCCACGCTCCACTGCTTATGCAATGTGAGTGCTTTCTATGACCTCGCATACATTGTACAAGATGATGTTGGAGAGGGAGTGGCAGCATGACTGGCAAAGAGGAACTGGTCATACAGTGAGGAGGAATCCTGTGGGAGTGAGGTATAAGGTAAGTATTATTCTACTTTAAACCCCCCCAGACTTAACAAGCATTTAAACATTGCTATATGGAGCGGGGACACATACTATTATTATTTATGGCTGACAGG